CACATACGTGACAAGGCCAGGCGCCCCATGTTCCCACTGGCGCCTGGCTATCAGTAAGGATGCAAATTATAGAATTCTGCAAGATGTCTCCAATTTGCTCTTGTTTGACCTGTTCTGGATTAAATTTCGGCGCCTTAAGTTTGAGGCGCATCGCGAGAAACGAGTGCGTCATTTTGAATTTCCCGCAAATTTTTTGAGCCACCCGCCAACTTTAGCCGCCAAAACTCTCTAGTTCCCCTCACATCCGTCTAGCGCTAGTACACAACCCATAATACCGAAACCATAACCACAAAATCTCCTTTTGAAGTTGCTCTGGCTCTCAGAAATTTTTTTAGCTTTCTTTGCATTGATCAGTATTTACGTACACGATTCATATCATAATACTTCATAACATTATTCAAACAATTGTTTATGTGTTTCGCTCCCAAGCTAACTCACCATTCTTTTCTGCTCACAACTTTTCGTAGATGTTTAAAGCCTCCTGTGTTTCTTGAAACCAATTAATAATTTTCTGACTCCACATGTTTCATTGAACAATTTGAGTAAGCATGGCACCAACTAAACGAAGTAAGAGCAATTCACGAGCTAGCTCAGCCAACACCGGACCAAGAAATTCAGAGCGAAGAAATGCTGCCAGGAATAATTCTAGTAAGTGGTACCATTTAATTTTCACTTCTCATGCGCAGCCAATTTCATGTACAACCCCATTTCACATGCAATCAAGAACAGTTGAATGCCATGCCACACAGCCAGCGAAAAGTCAGTCATGTAGCTTTCCTTGAAATTCCCATCATCAGTGATGCTTCTTTTTGTCAAGATTCAGCACCATCATTGGTCTCTCTTACGGTTCATTGTAACATGGTGTGAGTACATGATACTTACCAGACTTTTCCCGCAATTATTCATTGATCCCTCCTTATACTCCTCTTTATAGTTTTACGATTCATTTGCAGTAATAACTTGATCCAGAATACTTTTGCCCATTCAGGAGTAATTGATACTCCATGAATGTGAATGGAAACTGAACGGAACAGGTTTTGCATTACACCCACATCTCAAGAGTCCCCTAAGGGCTTCAGTATGAAGTCTGAAGTTTCAAGCTTATTAAGAAGTCATTCATCATTAACTTGTCTAATTTTTTATGTCTAGATGAAGCTGGAAGTAGCCATGATTCCATCATTACTGGCCGTGTCACTCGAAGCAGTGTACGGAGCAGTCAACCCTCAACTTCCTCAGGCATTCACTCACTAGCCCCATCCAGGAGAGCACCCATAGCCTCTTCCACAGCATGCAGAATTGCAACTAATGTTTTTCAGACCATGAACAATGTAATTAGAGCATCTAGCTCCATTTCCCGTTTGGCTGCTGAGCAAGGTGAGTTAAATCTCAAAACTCTTATATTTTTCTGTTCCTTCCTCTAGGGAAATCATTTTTTCTGCTTTGAACTAAACAGCGTTTATTTACAGCTGACACAGTTAAAGTGTTATAATAAGTGAAGTGAAAGGAATATTCCTTCAGTAGAAACTAAATCCTTTAAGTCAACTTGCATGCAGCACCTACCTTATTCCTTGAAATTCAGGTGGGCAAGGAAAGGTAGAGGCTATTCAATAAAATAAATTTGCTCACAATTTTTTCACTTCAAAAGGAAAGAAACCTATTAGAAAAGAGAGTTATGAAGCAAGAGTTTGCAGATAGAAATGGTAGGTATGGAATCTTGTTTTTCAAAATTTTGATATTATGGAATTATTTGATGAGTTGTTCTCAACTTAGTGTCAAAACATACAGAGGGATGCATCAAATGTCTTCTAAAAGCATGTCATGGTCATAAATTTACATGGATGTGTTCTCTGTGAGAGTTGGAATATGCATGAGTGCAAACACCCTTGACACAGCGGCTAGAAGGGAAAGACATATTGACAGTGAAGCTGTATGATCATACTTACAGATATCAGTAAACATTATTTTTCAGTAGAGCAGTAGAAGTGTTCTCATTTTTAATGGAACAAGCAGAAAGAATATGATCTCCAATGCTCTGTAAGAATTTTCAAAATAGCCTCAACTATTTGGAATTTTGAAAGAAAAACAGAGTTTTGTGTTTAGTGAATCAGGCTGGAACACGTTAACCCAAGATATGTAGATTCACCATTAAATATGGATCTGATCCTCTTTTTCTTCCAAGTCAATCGAACAAAGACTGTGTAATGAGTCTAGAAGGACATACAGCTGGAATTTATACTGTGAAAGCTTCTATTAATCTATAAACATCCCTAATTGCAATTCCAGACTTGATTGTTGGCTGTGAATCAATCTTAGAACATGCATATGGCACTGTAATGACAGATTACTCGACCCTATGTATGATCTATCTTTGAACTCTGGTTTTCTATGTAGTCTGGAGAATTGCACAGGAGCCTGCTCAACATAGGCATTTTGCGAATAAAGGCTGTTGTATGTGGCCATTAAGTTACTTTTTTCAGTAATTTCCCGATTTTGTTAGTGAAATATTTTCATGGTAGACACAGGACAACTATTACAGCTCATTTCTGCAGTTAATTTAAAACCATAAAAAATTGAGGTATGAAGTTTTGTAGTTTCACCATCAATTTTTAATTCCTTGGATGTGTGAGAATGTATTCACTTGGAGCACTTGTAGCTTGCAGTTTTCCTGTGATAATTTTTTTCTGTATTGCTCAACTGCAATTTTACAGCTGTTGGATCATCACCTAACCCAGATGCAAGTTCCAGCTCAGACAATGAGTCCAATCCTGAGGTGGATTTGGTTCCGACTATTCCTGAGGGAGGACCATTCAGACAGGGTGATTTCAAGTCCGTCTATGATTATTTGTCCACAATTCAAAAGCGTCTTTTGTACATAAACAAGAGGTTGGACAGTTTACTAGAAAAGTGCAAAAGTTTGTACATTCCTCGTGATCCTCGTGTCAGGTACATTTTATTTTGATGTTTTATTGCTTTTATATACTTAGTCATCTCTGCAATGACTCTCCTCAACTAAGGGCTCATGAATCAAAGCGAATGTCTCTCTAGAGATTGAGAAGGCATTTACCTAAGGTTCTGTAAAAGTAAAGTACAACCAAGGATATCTTGTCAAGTGCTTTAACAAATATCTTACCACCTAGTGTAATTATTTTTGTAAAGGGAGGAAACTGCGGTACAATTCAATTAAATGCTTTAACATATGAACCATTGGTTTGCTTTGTATGTGATATAAAATATGCCTGCTTAGCTTGTGTTATACTGCAACCACTTTCCTCCTCTTAAGGCATTGTTATTTCATTAATATCAAAAATAGTGGGGAAAACCTTAATTTCTTTCAAATGAAATATTAGCAAAAAAAGTATTCATGATTGTCCTTTTTCTTTTAAGTCAGAAAGATTCTGCACCATCTCTTTCCAATGTTTTTGTATCCATGTTCATTGTCGTACCCTTAAACTGAAAATGATGTTGAAGTCTAGTCAGAGTTCACACCAAATAAGTTTAAGCACTTATAGACTGCGACTGGAGATCGTGTGACGTCAATTTAGCATTGAAAGTGTTAATCAACATGGCGCATCTTCTGCTGCAGTCTAAAAGTGCATAAACTTATTTTGCATGGACTCTTGTCATATACAATACATTTAAACCTCCTAAACTTCTCTGTTTTTACTTCTTCTTTTTTTCTTCTTTTTTTACTGCGGGTATGTATTTATTTTCGTTTGTTTTTCTTTCTGTGTTAGCAGAACTGAAATTTGTGAAAATGCCAATATTGATGTCGCCAACTATAATACTAGTCGTCTTGTCTGTCCTGTTTGTTATTGTGATCTGTTAAGAGCAGAAGCAGCACCTTTGTCTACTAAATGCGGGCACATATTTTGCTCTGCGTGCCTCATTCAGGTTAGTATTGACTTTACCACCTTACATCGGGGGCTTAAAGAATTAAATAAAGAAGACAGGATTTCTGGCTGTCTGAGAAACTGGGATAGTTTGGGAATTTTGTAAGTAGCATGTAACTTTAGGCACTGCCATTGGAGAGAGGGGAAACAAGATATAAGTGCTTCTCACAAATAAAAACACACAAAATAATTAAGCTTTTGCCCTCACAAAATATGTAAAAGTAATCCATTCACTTGGATTCAAAGTCTAATAGTTCTTGGCTTAACTTGTGTCAAGTTCTACATATAGGATGGAATCAAATGATGACCAAGCTGAATAATGTTTGAGACATATTACAAAAGTATATTTTCTTGTTTTTGTGGATTTTTTTCCATTTTTTTTTTAAATTATTCAAAATGTACCATCAACGCTCAGTTTAATGCCCGAAATTACATACGATGAAATCGCATTCAACTCATTCTACATGCTTAATTTATTTCTTCAATATTTGTATTCCCTTTTTGATCTCCAAACTTTTCTTAGAGAACAGATATTTTTGTTTTCAGATCATGGTTATGGATGAAAGCAAGTGTCCAAACTGTCGAAAACCTCTTACCACTACGGACTACCATCCAGTGTTTTTCCCGCAACTCCTAAGCTAGGTCGCTCAAATACCTGAACATCATCAAAACCACTCTCTAACTAAACGTAAGAATTTATTTTAATCTTGTTTTAAATCATGTAAGGTATTGTTTATTTTTTACTAAAAAATGGGTAGCTATATGTGCTGAATAAATGCAAAGGAAAAAATAAACCCCCCAAAAAAACGACGGAATGAAGTCAAGCCTCTCATCTTGTTGTGAGGGAGAGGAATTAGAGGTCGTTAAATTAGAGATGTTAAGTAATATTGCTTACATCATATTTGGATTCAAACCGGGTTTAATGTAATTTTTTATATTACCTAGTGGCACAAAAAAGGGACTACTTTTTATCGAAGGAATTTGCTTCGTCTAATGCCAATTCCCATCTTTCTATTACTGGATTATTTTTTTTCTGGAGGACTTCAGATTTCATGTGCTATTAAAAAAGCTAGGGAAAAAATTTTGAAACCTGCTGGAAAATGCTGAAGTTGAATTGTGATTCCACAACTTTACTGCTAACTGCTCTGCTCTCCAACTTGGTGTTAATACTCCTGGTGTTTATTGAAATCAGAATTACTCATGGAAATGTCTTAGAGTGGTTTTTCCCTAATCACAGATTCATTTTTTCCAAAACAGTCTTGACCAATTTTATTTAATCGATAACTGTTCCTTCCCAGCTGTCAAATGGTCATAGATGTCACTACAAGTTAAGTCAGTTTTGGCACACTGTAATCATGCTGCTACTGCATTTACATGTTTTAGGATAGTGACAGGTCCTCTGAATCATTCAGAGATAGCATCATGACTTGCTTTGCTCTAATGTTTAAAGGAGTATCCTAGTTACAGTAAATGGAGTCATTAAGCGCTTGGAAACATTTTTGTATGTGCGGATCAGAGAGAAAGGTCTCAGCAAATTGTCCTTATTTTTCCCAAAGAGAAGCTCAATTGCAAAGCTCATTTGTTGAAACATCGCTTTTCGAATGAATTTTCTTTGCAGAGATCATGAGAAAAAATGAAAAAAGGGAAGAGCTGGTTGCTTTTTTGTTCTTTAAATGATACCGATTGCTGAAAATGAATCAAGTTCTCCAGGGTTATTGCATTTAAATATGCCCTGTAAATTTAATCAATTGCCTGTCTTTCGTTTGGAATGTTTGTCTAAGCAGGTCAATTTTGCAATTTGCAGTTGGTGATGTGAGATAAGCATTTGTTAAAATTTTAACAATTATGAGGTTAAGTAATAATAAAAAAAGAAACGAAAATAAGAGAATTTATGAAATCATATGAATCACCAATTGAATGGCAAAATTCCCAAACCTGTTGTAAGATGTTTATACCTGCGAAAAGTGATTAAGAAGTTTCAGTGTCTTGGAAAAAGAACACACTTATTGATAGTTGAATCCAAGCCTCCTTACACCACCACATCGGTTTCATTTACCTCCAGGCAAACAGTAGGGCCCGATTATTTTTTCCTTGGAGGTCGTTGATTTTCGCTTTTTTGCGCATCTTTGTTGTCCCCATTATTCGCCCACCATTCGCCCACTAAACGTCGCCCAACGTTTCTAACCAACTATTTTTGCAATAAGAACAATTTGCAAAGTGTGAAGTGTTTTTATGAAATAACCGTGTAAAATAATGAAATGAACAATCAATTTTGGAACCAAATCTCTAATTACTGATGGACTACAAAGAAATGGAACTTTACGCACCCTTGAATTAGTCGAGTATCAACCTGGCTCATTACTATCTTTTCCACACAAGGAACATGAAAAGTGTACTAATGAATAATATCAAATGGACAGTATGAGAAAATCCTTTTTTGGGCCCTTACTTTCATCAAAATATAATTGAAATGAGATGATGTTGCAGGTAAACTTATTTAAATCATTATTTTTCCCAACCTCAATCAGCATGACCCTATTTATAAATGAGCAATTGTCATGTACCTAGTCTAATTTCAATGAATCGTGTGTTCGATTTTCATGATCATAGATAACTTGGTTTCCTTTAATTTCGAGTATCTTCCTTCAGTTGTCAAAGTGTTTCTTCATTTTAGTATCCAAAATCATCAAGAGTTATTTTTTGACTGTTGTCTGTCTTGTCTCATTATGTATTGATTGTAATTTTTTGTAATTATTCTACTTTCTTCATTTTACTTAGCCCTGTCAGTAAGTTTTGTTTTGTTTATGATTATCACATTATAATTTTTTATTCAAAACCCCCTCTTGTTTTTTTCACATTCCAGTTGCCTTAAAAAAATATCAACCACTTCCAGGACAGCTCTAATTTTTACATGTATCTATTTACCTGATTTAAATGATTCAAACATTGGAAAGAAAAAGAACCATTTAGGGTCATTTGCTCCATCAGGGCTGTTTCTTTTAACACACTCATTATTAATAATGAAGTATTCGTCAAGTAAAACAGCACAATCGACCTCATTAGTTCTTCTTCACTACTTAGTTCTCTGAGCCTAATTAAAAAGCTTGAGTATGCTACAAATGTTTCATGGTATCTCAAGTTTAAGTATTCTATGATGAGATCATGTGTTAAAAAAGAAAGCGAGCCGTTTATCTCTTTAGGCACCTAAAGTAGCCTTCAGATCTGAAAATTGATGGCCTGAATGAAGGGACAAGATTTCTGAGTCTCCGTGTATCAAAATCTCGATCTTCCTTTTATTTTCTTTCGTAAAATCCACAAGGGATGTAACTCTCCCTGATGTAAAGTCAGGATCTTTTTTAGGAGAATTATTTCGATGTTCTAGTCAGGTCATACATTTTTTAATCCTACCGATTGGAGTGTCTTGTTAGTGGAACTTTGTCCTTTTTAAAGGCTCCAGGGAATATAAGGAAAGTGTGAGGTATCAATACATCATTAGTGCATTGAATGGAAAAAAAAGAAGTTCACACCTCTTTTTTTAAAAAATAAAAGAGTTATATTCAAATTACTGAATAGGCTCATTAACAGCACCTGGAGAGACCTGAGTTTTGACAGGGGTAGAAGAAGAAGGTTTTTAAGACTCTGCTCCTCCCCCGGGAGCGCCGAATTTCAGGACGCCAACTGAAGTTCGACCTAGGGCGCTAAAAAAGTAGGTAAATCCGGTCATCAAAGCACTGAATAAAGTAACTTAATGTCTTCCTCCTGCTAGAAACGAATGAACATGCTCAAACTGGTACCTACGAGCAACCCTTTCTGCTGCAAAGATGCTCTAATTGCCTGTCAAATTTTTGAAGGCAAACTGGTTACAGTTAGTATAAAGCACAGTTGAAAAAATCTTCATGTTCTCTTTCTGCAAAGAGCCGAATAAACTCGCTCAAACGTTGGAGATCCGGGAGCGTTTCAAATGGTCCTCCTGCTAATGTAGCAGTATTCTGCCGCCCTACTGAGGTGCTGTACACGGAAAGGGGAGAGGGGCAAAAAGGGGAGTTGAGAGATAAAAGCCCCAATCTAATATCTAAACCAAACGAAAGAATTTGCAACGTGTGAATGTTTTAGGCCTGGGTGAACATTTTCTAAATCTAGAATCACTGGCTGTATGCGTTTTTTGGCCTCCTGAACGCATCCCCAAAAGTGAAATTTCATGACATTTTTCATCTCGGATACCAGTGGCACCGTCATCTTTTTTTGCGGTATTTTACATAGTTGGATGTATTTAAATCACAAATTACCGTGCCGTATAAGAGCTCAATTCGTAAAAACTCCCAGTGGCCACAATTTCGCGCGATTTCTTGACGGCGGTGCACCGTGGATCGAGTCAATCAAAGAGGCCGGACATGAAATTGTTGACTGATACTGCAAATTTTAATGTTTATTTCGTCACATTTTAACTATCATGTTGCTAGAAGAAAATTTCACGAGGAAACCGAGGAACCACTTTTACAACCTCAAAATTTTGTATAAACGGAGTTATCAGCGTTCAGGGTCGGATTAAGGGGGTGGCCAAATGGGCCTCGGCCCATGGCGGCAAATCGAAGGGGCGGCAAAAATTTTCAATTTTTTTAAGTGTGGGTATAAAAAAAATCGGATTAAAAAAAAAAAAAAATTACAAACGAGAAAAGGCGACAAAATCACCAATTTCCTGAGAGTATAGTAATTTCTAATTTTGTCGTCTCTTAGTGATACAAGAGACAGCACCTTCAATTAGTCGAGTTAAGAGAGAAACTAAACACACAATTTGGCCTGGAACGGCGCGACTTAGAGAGAAATGATGACGAGGACTTGAGATGAAAAGGAGAAGCCCTCGGCGCGGCGATCGGCATGTAACACATATTGGCACCTACAAGACTGCACGAATACTTCACGCATTGCATCAAACACAGTGCGGTTATTGTGGTCAGCGAGGAACGCATAGCGCCTACACGAATGCATGAATACTTCACGCATTGCGCCAAATACAGTGCGGTCAGCGTGAGACGCATAGCGCCTACAAGACTGCGTGAATACTTCACACATCGCGTCAAACACGGTGCGGTCTGCGCGGCGCGGCGGCGGAAGTTAAAATCATTAAACCACATATATGTTTGTTCTTTCATAAGTTTTTTGTTCATTTCGTATGAATGGAAGGCCTGTCCGCACAGATATAGGTTTACGGAACTTAACTTTCACGCAAAGTTCCGCGAACTTTTGCTAGTAGTGTTGACATGGCTTTCCCAAAAAATGTGCTCAACACGAGTAAATGCGTCTTATGGACCCCTCCCCTGCTGGCACGTTCACTTGATGGTTTTTATTGAGTTTCAAAACGAATGAGAAGGGGGTGGCAAAATATAGGCGGCCCATGGGCGGGAAGTAGGTGAATCCGGCTCTGTCAGCGTTTAAAGTTTCCAAATTTTGTCCGACCCCTCTTATTGACTCGATCCAGTGTGCGGCGGTGCGGGCTCGTATCCCTGTGCGTACCCTTGGAAGTCGGGGCCGGTGTGGTACCCGAGTGGGGTCCGGGGCGGCGGCCCCAGTGCCCAGTGGGGTCCTAGCGTGGGACAAACTCGTCCGACGTGTCTGCCCGGGCCGCTCGCGAGGAGCCAAGAGGAAACGGCGGCGGGCCGGTGGCGGAGGAGGCGTCGGAGCCGGGCGCGCAGCCGCAGTACCGCGTGGACTGTGTCAGTGGATGGTACTCCGCGCCGCGCGGAGACTCGAACCTGGATTACCGCGGCCTTCGCCATGAACCACGTCGTAACCAGGACTCCTCGGGAAGACCTCGACAGTTCTGTGAGTCCTCCAGTTTCTGTTCCCTCCCGAGGCGCCGGCCGGCAGCCCGCCCGCCCACCTTTCCTTACTCTACAGAAATATACAATGGAAAAAAGCACATTCGATCCAGAGTCCAGACTCTTGAAAACATTGACAAGGAAAAGGACTCTTGATTCAATCAGATTTAAGCTTAAATCAAAAGGAAATCCGCTCAAATTAAGAGGCATGGTTCTTGATCTAAGCTTGAATCTGATTGAGTCGAGAGTATTTTTACTTTTTTTTTCTTGTCGATGTTTTTAAGAGTCTTGACTGTAGATCCAATGTGTTTTTTTTCCAGTGATAGTTTACTTTAGAGAAATATACCGAAACTGTAGTGCAGTGGAGAATGTAAATTTTATACAATTGAGTGTTTTTACGTAAAAAAATGCTTTAAAATTGTGTAAACTTTATACCAATGTTTACATTACTGCCTTGCCAAGGAAGAACGCCGTATGGACATTCGAGAGTTGCCAAATTTCCCTCGATAAAACATGTATTTTTGACAACATTTATGCATATTTTCCTTAAAAGTTTCATTCTTAGTATCCAGGGGACATTCAAAAAAGGGGATTAATGAACTATCGTTACAAGCGTCAGCAAAAATATTTAAAACCCAAAAATATCTTAAATTTTGTACAAAATAAGAATTACTAATAAACCGCTGTGAATAGTAAAAATGCCGTATTGGCTCGACTTCATTACTCGGCTTTTGATCGATTGGATTCAGATTCGTATTTTTACGAATTCGGAACACGAATATGCAGCAAAACTGAAAAATACGTACATCTATCTGTCATGCACATATTTTAGAATATAGGTTAGAGTTGTTCTACTCATCCCGCGGTTGCCGAGTGCGTGACGCCTAATGCACTTGCACTTCACAACTGTTTACGATGCCGATTCTACGCGAAAAAAGATATGAGTAATCCTCACAAAGTGATTAAGTGATGTTGTAACCCATCAAACAAACTGCAAAACATTTACACGTGATTTTATCGCAAAATTCAATTTTCCAAGAGGGGTCCATGAAGTTTGAACCATCCAAAACGCACTTCCGCCAAAGACTCACACTCCTCCTGCTTATTCCCCAAGTAGCAGTGATGGCGATAAATAGCGATTTTATAGGTTGATTATCGCGATTATATCGATGACAACTGGAATTTATTGCCGATTTTTCTCTTTGAAACTAAGCGTGCCTAAAGAACATATCTAGCGCTGATAACGTTTCTTCGGAAAATTTCTGGCTATGGCACTGGTCCCGAAAGCCCAAATTCAAAACTAATTGGAATTCCAGGAACTGCAATCTTTTCTCCCAAGTTTCTTTCTCTTTCTTGTGCATCCTCATTAGAACTGAAAATGATAAAACAATACTAAGAAACTGTCTAATTTAATCAGTGAGAACAAAAACACACCAACCCGAAAAAACGAAAATAATCAACGCGCACATAAAACTGCACATTAGGCGAAGAAGTTAGTCGCAGAAAAAGGGACACTTTAAAGATTCAAGTTGGAAGAGACGCGCTAACTTCAATGATCTTTTTGAAATTTGGCTGTCTTTGATGGAAATTGAGCATTTTCGAGTTACCTAGTTGGTGTGTTTTCGTTCTCAATGATTAAATTGCTGATGACGTTCAATTTAGTACTATACCTAACGCCTTGACGTGCCATCAGTATTTTAGGAAGCTTTCTGCATCTTACGCTTTAAACTTTGTACTTTAAAACAAGGTGTCAAGTATGTGCATAATTTATTCGGAAACATTGAAACTATGTGGAGTTTGCGAGATGGACATTGTCTATTGCCGTGAACGCGTCATATAATGTATAATTTTTATATGCCGTAGCAGA